CTTTAAACCTTGAGTATAGCACAAGAACCATAAGGTCACCAAGCCCCCAAGATAGTGTAATTATATACCAATGATTAATACATATATATTTTCAAATTTTACCTTGAAATAACAACAAAAACTTCCAGCACTGATGAAGCAACGTCTACAAATCTAAAAAAAATTAAACAGAAAGACAGTTTTGCAAGAAAAATCAGACTTATCTACCTACATCTATCTCTGGACTGGCTGTTCTGGCACTCCTGACAATTGGCTGTTATTAGGTATTGAGTTACTTGTTGCCTTAACCTACACACCAAGGGAAAGCAAGTGCCTCAGTTTGCCTGTAACTAGCTGCGGCCCAGATCAAGGGTCCATCAAGCATGCTCAACCATAATGGGCATCATGGGTTACAACCATTAATGACAGCCCTGTACAACAAGATCAATGCAAACCCAGACCTCAGACCCCCACCTATGAATAGGCTGAATGAGGGGCAAATTGTCAACTTTCATCACGCATGTCTGAGGTATACTTTAATTGCTTGATGCTTAATTAAGTACTTTAAGAAAATAAAAGTAATAAGTTGGGCAAACTAATAAATTTAAGTAAATGAGATGCAAAAAGTAAGTTTGGTTCCATAAAATCTGATGTATAACTGATGTTTTACTTATAGCATTAACTTTAAAATCTGCAAACTAAACCCACCTTCAAATTACAATGTATTAAGCAGGCTGCATACTATATATTATAAGGCTGAAGCAGACACTCTGTTTTAGCCAGACACCAGCCTTAGTAAGTCCCATCTTTTCATATTTTCAGTAAATTGGACCTGTATTATGCAGAGAGTCCCAAGTGTTTTGCTCATAATTTACAGGTTTCACTCTATTTTCTTTTTGTCCAAACAACAGTTCAGGATATGCTCATCCATTCATGTTCCTTTAATCATTTAAGTAGTAGAGTACTTTTTTCATGTTTACATAGCCTAATCTAACCACGAGGAGGGTTGGGAGAATTCAAGACAATTATGCAAACCCAAGACACAGTTGAGGGTTTGCATGGCTTTCAAGAATTCTCCCAACCTTCTGCGTGTTTAGATGAGGCCATGTAAACCCGGAAAGAGTGCTCTACTGCTTTTATAAAATATTTCTTAAAAATGTGTGCTAATCTGAAAGGTCACAATCGTGTTTACATACTCTCATCTAAACACACCTATCTGCCAATGACAGCATGTGTAGTAGCTCAGTTATTTTGTTAACATGTATGGAGCATGTCGTCCACTGGTGGTCAAATTAACACAATTTCACTGGAGCCTATATCTACTCAGTGTACTCTCTTTGAATAAATTATCAGTCAGGGGTTAATCATACAGTATTTTGTGATTCTAGGCCTGAAGAATAGAAATGCAACAAACAAAAGGCACCAGTTCATGGCAGCATACCCACCCTGTTGGTTTGGTTTCTGGTGGAGTCTGACTGCTTCTTTGATCATAAAATAAGAGGTTGGAGTCTTGTATAATGAACCTGTAAATCAAGGAGAAGTTATTTGTTGAAAATCAAAGTAACATCCAAGATTTAAAGATCTTGGTAAAAAGAATAAAAAATTGACACTGGCTAAAAATATATACTGGATGTTTGGGCTACTACTGTTGTCTTCTTCAGCAAAGATAAAAATGCAAATGGCTAACGGCGTCCTGCTTGGTATATGTATACAATGTGTGATAAAACTAAATCACGCCTCAAAGGAGTGTAACAATAGTCTGTAGGGTATTCTTAATGACTCTAAAAGTTCTTAATGTTATTGTAAATTAGCTGTGGCTATGTGTTTGTTTATAGCATCCCTGTACCGCATGGAATGCCAAGCTTCAAGGATTAGTCTTTGTCACCACGCTGATCATGACCTGTCAACAATTTCAGCACTCTCCAAATCTATTTGGTGATTGTGAGGCATATGGTGTTTGGCCAACAAAGAGTTTTTATCCAATGAGGCTATGGCCTTCCGGTGCTCTTTTACTTTACTTCATGTTTACAAGACTTAATCTTGTTAACATGAAGGTGACAAAAATGACTGACAACTGGCCTTAACTTGTTTGCCTGTGCAGCATAGCACTCTGGTTGGTGTTAATAACTCTGACTTGAGAACTTGAGTACACTGTGCAACCCTTAAAGTTGTTGAGTTATCCACAGCCAAGAAATGCTATTAAGGCTAGCCAAAGTGCTAGTCAGGTTGAATGAAGTACTATTGAGGCCACCTGTAGTGCTATTCATGCTAATTGTGATGATTTGAGACTATATTTGCCTCTAGCTGACGTTTGCTATTTGCTATTGGCTATTCAGGTTTTTGAGATATCCCTTATTTTGTCACTCTCCTTTGTTTGTTTGTTCACTTAGTCAATTTCTTCTAGTTGTTTTTTTTCTTTTTTCAGTAAAACATTAATGTAAAACCTTACCAGTGTCTGTCACTTCTGTCCTGCTCTCTGAGCTTGGTGAGCCCTAACAAGTTACACAAGTTAAGTTTAGAGAGTGATGGACATCATTGTTACAAAAATAGATCCTGTGACACTCGATCAAACCTATATCTTTACAGACACCCACTCTATTAGTTTACCAATTATAATTAAAAGTGGACACCTTTATTATCAGGACAGGAATCTAAACCGGTCAATGTAAAATGCAGACTGCAGACTGGGGACTTTCGAAGTAAACATATGTAATCTATATATATCCTGTTATTTCCATTATCAAGTGCTGACTATAAACAGGATTATTCAACAGGCTAATTGCAGAGAAAGTCTGCACTCCAGTTAACCTGAATAGCACTCAGGCTAGCCTGTTTAGCTCTCAATGATGGAAATGGTAACATGATTTAGTCTACAGTCTGCAGTCTGCATTTTACCCTCAGTCTACATTTTACTCCTGGTCTGCAGTCTGCAGTCAGCAGTCAGCAGTCAGCAGTCAGCAGTCTTCATTTTACACTGACCCCATTTAAACTCTAGAAGGTTATCTTTCAGACGTGGATCATAACCAGGGCAGATCTGAGGTCCTCAAAAGAAGGAGGGAAGTGAGGATGGACCATTTCTTGCTTGAAAGAGGGGAACTATAGTCAAAGGGACCCTTTCTTCCTTTTATAAAGATGGCGTTCCCTCAGATCTGGGGTGAACTGCATCATTTGAGAAGTTCTTCAGAATTAGCCAAGTAATGCAAATTACAGACAAAAAAATGCCCCTAGCTCTAAAAACAAAGTGACTCAAACAGAGCTTTTAAAAGGGTCCTGGTCTATCCACCAGGTTCACCACTGATAACTCCAGTCTCCTGAATACAGCTTACCAAATTTCCCAGACATTACCACCGAGAAAAGTTCATCAAGAATGACTATATATTTGCCAACTTTTCCAGATAATCTGGAAGTAACTCAGAGGTGGACCAGATCTCATGGCCCCCTTGATGAGCTAGCTATCAAAACTCCTGGGGTATGAAGTCAAAATGTTCTTAGTATCACTCTTTTTAAATTCAGGTTGGTTTATGCTGTTATCCCAGTAGTAATTTAATTTTTGATAATCACTTGAGCATTTATGGTGAATTAAGTGTTTGCTTTCTGTGAGAGAAGGGTTTTGGTCAGTTTTTTTGGGGGAAAGGGTAGACTCATCAATTGAAAAATATTATCAGCCAAACTTGGCCATCTTTTGGATTTGGATTGCATTAGATCTTTAGGCATCTCTACATGACAGAAAAGAAAAAACCTGCTGTCATTCTATCCTCCTGTTTGATATTGTGCAGCAGGTCACTGGGCCACTGCAAATTCTAAGGGGTAACGCATTTTGAAACACCAAAACTTTAAAAGGAAAGTATAGTAGCTAACCTGGAATTTCCAGAGGGGTGGAGAATTAAAACCAAAAAACCTTCCATGGGGGTATGGACATTTTCCAGAACAACACAACAACAGTTTCTCTCAGCAATTTATTAAATTTTAATTTGGCTTAGGGAGCATGAACTATAGACTTTTTGGTATTTAATGTAAAACACTGAGTGACCTAGCTCTTAGAGGGGTTTTCAATCAAGTGTCTATTGTAATCTAGAGTTGCTTTAGAATAACCTTCAATCAGGCATTCTTTATCTTTTATTTCAGGGAAAGGGAAAAAAGACCACTAATACAGTTACTTCGCTGGTGATCTGCCTGTAGTTCAAAGTCTGGACTTTAGTCTGATTGGACATAATTAAGCAAAGGAGTCTCTCTAAGATTATGATGTTCCACCAAATTTTTTCAATAAATTCTGTTTGAACTTCAAATTGCTATTCCCCTTATGTGGATCACAATGAAGCAACAAAGGGATGGCATATGACCAGTGAAATAACTGCATCAGGCATTCTTTTTTCCCCTTTTCCTGTTCTCCAAAAAAAACTGCGTGATCACAGGTGGGCTCTAGATTTCCTCAACTATGCACTGTAATTGGTTTAAAACATCTACACCACCTCCTCTTACACCACTTCAAGGCAAAACAAAAACTATGTATTTATGGCATTGTGTTTTCATTCCAGGGTTACTGGTCTTCAGTCTGTCAGTTTTCATAATTGGTTCATTACTACTGTGTTGTTCTTGAAAGTTTCCTGTGATTGGACCTTGTGATTACTTTAATTTGGTCTTTCAGGTTTTACAACACTTGACTGAAAAATTCTATCAGGCAGACTCAGGGGGTCCCTCACCTCTCTCACCCCTACTCATACCCCTACCCATATCCATACCTGTATTTATGCCCACCATGTATATCACAAGTTAGAAATGGCAGAACAAATATTGTTTCACTTATTAAAGCTTATTGCGGGCAACCAGAGGAACCCGCAATCCTAATCTCAACGTTCCTATTACGCATGCGCAGCATGTGTATAGCCAGATCCTGGCCCGATTTGTGTGGACTTCCACCAAGAATGAATGGAATGAATAACACGCAATTTTATCACGCGTAACTGGACCTTTGATCACGTGAAAGTTAGTCGTCCAGATTGCATGATGTTTTGCAGACATAGTTCAAGCGCTTGAGAAGATTGCTGTGATCATTGACGATGTCTGTAGTTCAAGCCCTGAGTAATAGAGAAGATTGCTGTGATTTTATCGATGTTGTCTTTTGTTTAAGCGCTGCTTTGAAGAAGATTTGCTGTGATTTATCGACGCTGTCTGTTGTTCAAGCGCTGCTTTTGAGAAGATTTGCTGTGATTTATCGACGTTGTCTTTTGTTCAAGCTCTGCTTTTGAGTCGACATCATCTGTTGTTCAAGCACTGCTTTTGAGAAGATTTGCTGTGATTTATTGACGTTGTCTGTTGTTCAAGCGCTGCTGTTGAGAAGATTGCTGTGATTTTATCGACGTTGTCTGTTGTTCAAGCGCTGCTTTTGAGTCGACGCTGTTTGTTGTTCAAGTGCTGCTTTTGAGAAGATTCGCTGTGATTTATCGACGTTGTCTGTTGTTCAAGCGCTGCTTTTGAGAAGATTGCTGTGATTTTATAGACGTTGTCTGTTGTTCAAGCGTAATTTTTACTTATCATTGAAATCACTTGTTCAAAGTTATATAATAGTTTCGTTACAGTTACTGTCCAATAACATGTTCAAGTTTTGCATATGATAACCAATGCGTTATGTTTGAATTCTTTATTAATCATTTAAATCACATGTTCAAATTTTATATGTTATAATATTTCAATAAATATTTGTTGAGTTCCAAAAATTCATTTCGACTCAATCATTACAGGGAATATAGAGGGAGTTTAAGGAGGAGAGGGGGGGCGAGGGAAGGGGGGAGAACTGCAGGAGCAGGGATTGCCCTAGAAAATATTTCACACCCTTAAAACTACTGAGCATCACTCACTGACTATACCTCGGACAATATAAACCTTTTTTACCCAAAATGACCAGATATCGTCCTCGCCCGCACTTTCTAACCTTTGGTTATTACTAGTATATCTTGGTACATTTCTTTGCTGTTTTCTGTAAAACAGCAGCCTGTCCTGAACAGCTGAGATGACCAAATTCTACGTAGCCAGGAAAACGTGAAGTGACCACTTCGAGTAATTGTCATGAAAGTTCCCATTTCATTGTGTGACAGTTCATCCTATTTTTAAGCGATTACGTATTGTGTGACGTCATCGCTTTATGCTGGCATCCATGCATTCCTTTGGATAGTGATTTCGCAGAGTTCGTCGCGCTTATGTCCGTGCGCTTATGTCGCGCACTAACTGACAGAGCTCAATATCAAGGCAATTCCGTCATGTTTTCAATGTGCGCGTGCACGAGCCCGCGCTAATCACGCCATAAATTATGCGCAGTAAGGATGCGCAATGCAAATGTGAGGAATGACCTTAAGCCAATTGCGTAGCGTAGTAATGCAAACCAACGCAAATGAAAGTTACATTCGACATTCAAGCGAAAACTGCTCTAAAAACTTTGCTTTTGGTTTCACGAGAGTCATTAGGGAGTGATTAGTTTCTAAAGAAACTGTTGCACTGCGTCAACGTGCGAGTAAAAGACTAATTAGTTGATCATCAACTGGAAGTTGAGGCTATGGCGGTCAGTATTAAAACCTTTGTAAACTTCAAGTTGATAAGCAACTAAGTGCTCTCATTTTCAGCTTACCATGAGCAGTTTGCCATCTTGCAGTTGCTTCTACGGCAGAAGGATTCATTGAACTGCTATTCACTGGGCTCCAAAGACTCATGGGTTTGACTAAAGTGGTTATTCTATTTACAACTTGCTTTTGATCTGTGTAAGGGTCTTTCAGATTTTCTTCGTGTATTCCTGAAAACGTCGATAATTGAAAAATAGTACAGGTTACAAAATTACCAGAAGCACATTTTCACACCAATTTCTTTCAGATTTTGCCACGAGTCAAAACGATTTGGATAAGCAACCTTTGGAAATTCCCCTTTCACATGGTTTTTTTGGAAATTTTCATGTCGACAGCCTCCGTTAGCCTAGGACTCACCTTCGGAAATCGACATCGATCATAAAACTTCGGAACAACCTTCCAAAAAGTACGGTGATAGACATCAATCTTTGATGTCATGGAAAAGTAACGAGTATATTTTTTTTAATTGCACTGCTCTCGTCCAGTCAGCATCAAGTAAAATACAGTTTACGGCAATTACTAAATAACTCACCGCGACTAACTTCTAGCAGAACTTCTTCGATGGATTTGTTTCTGTGTTCATCTGTGATATTCTTAAGAAGGTGTTTGGCAAAGAAACCATTCTTCTCCTGTTCACACTCAAAGACACTCGATTGAGGGCAACTGGAAAAAAAGAAAAAGGAAATGCGTTAAAAAAATCGTCAATTTAATGTTTGTTATGACATTTACTTTAGAAAAGTACACTAAAATCTAGGAATAAACTCTCACTAGACTCGCTACAAAAGCGAGGAGACTGGACCGGAGCAGCAAGTTTGCAGGACGGTAGATTAGAGTCTCTGTTTTAGAAAACAGCACTTATTTTCTGGAGAACTTTGCTTTCCATTTCCGTTCCTTGTGATAAACTGGAACGTTGGAAACGAACAGAAAACACCATGTCACACACGCAAAATTAAGACAGGCCTTTTAAAAATTAACAGCAAGTTTTCCTCTGACTGACAAAAGTCATACAAGCAGTTCTAGCAAAGACAGGATGGCGTATTGTCTCGATGTTTAGCCACATAGGGGCATAAAGTGAATCACCGACGAAACTACAAAACCTCGATTAAACTGGAAAGCTGACGTTTAGAGAGTTGGCCGTTTGTCCGACAAAACACATGTAAAACTTCAGTTTTGGAAATTTGCTACTAAAGTCACTCAAAGTAATTTCAACTCTAGAATGCTCGCTTGGTATTGGTGCGCACTGTTTATTACAAATACTATGCATTTAAAAATTAAGGAACTACCAGCTTACCAGCCAAACGCTACCACGATATTAGGTTCTTTGATATCTTGTAAATCACCACCCAATAACGGACTGCCGTGCACTTCATGATCAGGTCTAAAGGAGGAAAAGAGGAAAAAAGACACAACAAATTGAAAGTCAATTTAGGCAGGTTGGCCCTCCTTCTTCTTCCACCAACAGTTATTCAACCGGGGGGTGGGAGACAGAGGAAAGATAACACTGGCGAAGAGTTACCTGACTACGATGAATTCTTCGGGTTATGAAATTGGCGATTTCGGTATTTTGGAAGGTCAGTAGATTTCGCCCTTATGTGCTTGACTTTCAGGTTAAAGATCAATGCCATTTATGATCTTTTTAAAAACATGGAGCATGTCATGAAAGTTCCAATTTAAGTGTTTGACAGTTTATCCTATTTTTAAGTCGCGTGATTCAGGGAATCTAGGAATAATAGAAATCGGAAGCACGTGCTTGACAGTCTCAATTAGTTCAGTCGATGATTACCAGTTAATTAGCACCAGATTGTAAACGCGTTCCATCTTATCAACAAAACATGTAAGCTTGCGTGTCA